TAATAATAAACTGATATTGAATATAAATTATATAAAAATCGTGCAAGCTTTGTGAAATCTTTAAATATGCAAATAGTAATATAATACAAATTCTCACTTAAATAGGCTGAAAGGAAAAACAAATCATATGAAATATGCGACGAATATGTGATGTGCGTAGTAAGAAGTGTTGCTGTGCAGCTTCAATGTGCACTTCAAAATGTTTGCTGTTGCATGGCCTCGGCAAACCAGCTCAACAACAACAGCAACAGCAGCAACAACAGCAACAGCAGCAACTAATCAACTAACTCGTGTGTGCAACAACAATGAATACAATCAAAATGTGCTGCTAGTCAAATTTGGGCTACAATTGTATGAAAATTTATGCAAATCAAAAGCGAGCAATGACTGCGTGGCGAGCAACAACAGCAACTGCCAACAGGAACAGCAGCAACAGCAGCAACACCAACAGCAACAACTTGACTGCCGCACAGTCGCCGTCGCGCCATTGCCATTTGCATTTAATTGTTGTGATTATCTTGGCCTGCTGCACACGGTGGTAAGTGCGAGTATCTTGTGGATACACAGTGTTAACAGCGAGTATCTTGCGGATGCACACAACCAGCCCCATTCTCCATTCGCATCTATGTAAGTGGCTGTCCGGCCGCATCCATCAACACTGTGGCGCGTATGTAAAGCAAAACTCAAATGTGTAAATGGCCTGTCAACAAATTAACCCAAGCATTACACAAGCGCGGCCTTTTGTAGTAGTTGTTGTTGCTGTTGCTGTTGTCGTTGTCGGTGGCAAGTTAATTAATTAAGCGACAACCACAAAAACAACAACAACAACATCAGCAGCAAAAACAGCAATAACATCAACAGCAGCACTTTATGTTGCTGAGTCAACAGATTAATCAATGCGAGTCTTACACGTCCGTTCGACCCGCCGTCCCCTCCCGAAAACTGTCAGCCATAGGTGTTGGCATAATTAATATTGATCTAGCCATAAGGCCGGCCAGCCGAGCTACCTGCTTAATTGCCTGCAGTTGTTCAGGCTGGAACAATTATGCGAATTTAAAGTTGAACTCAGCTCATTGAATTGAGGGAACTTTTGGGGAACGACAAACAATCGGCAAATAGAGAAACATTTGTTAGTTTTCTGATTGATGATCTTTCATCCGAGCTAGTTGCAAACTAATTTAATGAGATAATATTTTAATTAAATGTTTTACATTGTGATTGTAAATATACTTCTTACAATCATACATAGACTTTTAGTATTGGGTATATATACGAATATATTAAATGTATATTTTGGTCTTTGAAATAGAGCTAATGCACAATTAAAACGTGTTCACTCTAGTCCCATAAAAATATATTATTGTTTATTTATATTTATTTGTAGTCAGCAGCCAAGCTTCAGGAACTTAATGTCAGATATCTATATTGAGCAGCTCAGTTTCATGATCCAAATTTCAGAATAAATAAATTAAACCATATATAATTAAACCATATAAAAGACTATTTAATATTATAGTACTAGACAACAAGCTTAACTAATTAAAACCAGTCGAGTCATGCGATATTTTCGGGTTAATATTGGTTGGCTAGAATTTATATAAACTAAAAAGTACATTATGGGTCGCGCCAAAAAAATAGTCTATGAAGCTCTTATATGTACATATAATTGATGAAATGAATTGTATTTATTAAGAAATAATGATAGTCAGCTCTATAAATAGAATAATACAGTTATACAATTTCAATACATTTTAATATAAATTTTTAACGTATTTTAATCATGCTTTATGCGGTACTATTATAATTTTAGTATTCTATAATACATCGTGAATTACAGTCAAAGAAAAGTTATTCAATTTCTTTATATATATTTTTATTTCTCTATATATATTTTTAAATAATGGTTCTGTAATTAATTTAAATAATTTCAATTATTTTATACACAATTATTTCATCTGTATAAGTTGGAAATTCCTCATTATTGAAATTCTTGAGCATCTTGCTAAGTCAGCTCATTGCAGCCATTTAGCTATTTAGCTGGCTCAAACAAACCAAACAGCAACAAATTCTTAGCCAAAGAGTCAACGCCATTTTGAATGGTTCATGGCCGCTGGACTGGACTGGACATGGTATCCACCCAGAGAACACACAGCCGAATGGCAATTGCCCAGTTGCTTCCAGTTGCTGTTGCTGTTGCAGTTGCAGTTGCAGTTGCTCTGGCTGCTGGGTTTGTTGGCTCAGAATGTGTGTGTGTGTGTGTGCCTCGTCCTCGTTGCAACTGCAGCCAACCTACACAATTGAGTTGATTTCAATTGCAGGGTGGTCCGTGGCACTCAGGGCCTTATAATGCGCCAAGCGCTGTCAATCGGTCTCCGACTCCGACGCGTATGCTTATGTGTGTGTGTGTGTGCCAGTCTCTGCTGTGCGCAATCAGGCGAACGAGATGCAATGTCTGTCCAGGTTCCAGGTGCGGCTGACTGGCTGACTGGCTGACTGACTGGTTGCCTCGCCTAGTAGTTGAAGCTTGTTAATCTCGTTGCTCTCCCTGTTGTTGCTGTGGTTGTTGTTGTTGTTGTTATTGTTGCATGGGGTTGTCAACATACTTTTTTGCTTGTTGACAACACGGCAACAACAACAACAACAACGACGACGACAACGAGCAGTTGCAGTCATCTCGAGACTGCAGCAATGCAGCCTGAAGAGTAGCCTGCAATTCGTTCGTCTTCCTCGTAGTTGCAACGTCATAATTGCAGCGCATAATGAGGCATACACACACACACTCACACCCACTGGCAAGTGGCAAGTGCAACTGCATTTGCAGCCAGAATTGCTGCAATTTTCGTTTGAAATGCAAATGAAGCACACACACGCCCACGCACGACCACGCCCCCAATGATGACAGTGCGCCCCCAAACGTAGTTAAGCAAGTGCAGTGTATAATGTGCAGCAACCGAATCCTAATTGGATGCACCAAGCACACACACACACACACACACACATAGGTAGGGTGAAGTGTTCTCCGCTGCACCACATGGCGTATGCGCAACGCACCAACTTGAGCTGGATTTATTTATGAGTCGCTGCTACTTTGGCAGCCTCAGGTCTGAAGTCTTATGTGCACGATATGCAGCTCATTTAATTGCTTGTTAAATTTGTGGCATTTTCTTATCGCTGGGCAGCGCGCGATAACGTCTCGCCTCGATTGGCAGTCAAACGATCTTCGGTTCGACACTTGCCGATCTGCGAGAAAGTTGCCCCCAGCAAACATTTCGATTCTTTGCTGAAATTTACGGCTCATTTACAGCTGCGATACGTTAGATAAAAGTAGATGCAGCGCAGCTGATATATGTGTATCATTGTGGAAGCTAACATATACATACATAAAGGACACACCTAAAGTGTAGTAAATGTCATATGGACTTAAACAGGCCAGGAGCAATTTTAAATGGAATTGGAAAGAAACTGAGAGAGAGAGAGAGAGAGAGAGAAAGATTAAGAGAACGATAGAAAACAGGAGAGTGAACGAGACCGAAAAAAATAACGAATAATAGAGAAATAAATGAGATATTAAACTGAAAATAGAACGAAAAAGTAAAAGGAATAAATATTTATAAATTGTAGGTAAATTGTTGCAGCTTAAATTCTATTTTTACTAATTAGACACATTACTTACATATATTACATAACGCTTTTCAACATAATCTTTACTTTGACTTCTTATTATATAAATATTAGTTCTTCTTTTACCAAACACTCTTCGTTAAAGTTTCTCTATCACGCATACAATACTGCAATTTAGAGATCTGCAAAAAGAAATCCTAGCTGATGTAGAGATACTCAGTACTGATATGCTTTAACTAGTTTATCAAGTGTTATTATAATTTTTTGCCGTTTGAAATATTTATAAAAATACTCTCCAAGACTCTTTATTCAAGATTGAAAACATACATAATTCCTTTACATTTTATGTTAACAGAAAAGTTATTTACAAATATCATGTCATACACTTAATAAATTTTATTTATATATCCAAAACTGCATACCAAATTTAGTAGTTTTATTCTCTTTCATGAATCCCAGAAATAGTAAGAAAATCTAAAAATAAAAATCAATAATCAAATATTATATTTCATGCAGCCATTACATAGTTAAATCAACTCTGCCTCTCTCTCTCTCTCTCTCCGTTCCATAAATTGATATAAAATCAAAATGCCCCTGCTACAGGAATTTCTCAATGGCTGCAGGGTATAATAAAGTTTCTTGGCAAAATGCATTTTAATTGGTTCCCAGATATGCAATGCAGGGCATCACACAGAGCCATCTGCCAGACGTCTTTCAGATAAAGAATTTAAACTGATGCACATTTTGTTAACAGCTTTATAAAGCGTATGGCTTTTAGTCGTCGTCATCGAGCTGTTGTTGTTGTTGTTGGCATTGCCATTGCTGAGTTTGCCAGTGAATTCAATAAAACTGATAAGGCAACAAAGTCAAGGAACCGACGCTGACTCATGCAGCAGCGTGCAGCCTGGGCAGCAGATCTGCGATCCAATCCAATCCAATCCGATCCCATCCGATGGGGCGATCCGATGGGGCTGTCTGTCTGGCTTAGCGCGTATTTCACGCGATGCGATAGCAGCGCAATTGATTCGCTTATAAAATTTATCGATCTGTTAGCCGTGGCTTAAAATGTTGCCAGGTTGGTTAATTTGAGTTTAAGGACGATGATGTTGCTTATCAGGCGTGTAAAGTGTTGCCACGATAACCAACAAATAAAGTGAAGCAAACTAAAAGTCTGCCAATAAATGGTGTATATATGTATATGTATATGCATATGTATGGATATACTCGACCGCTGGACACAAATTTGTATTTCATTTTCATAATTTAAGTTTCTCACGCTCACGAGCTGAGGCTCCGGACTCCGGAGTTCTATTGAAATGCCATAAAAAGATTGAAATGTGTGGCAAGGCTTTAATAGGCGCCGCCAACCGTCTTGAGCCAAGCCGGGCCGAGCGTTTCGGCCGCAACGTCTGTCAAACGGTAGCCCGTGCATAAATCAAGGATTTTTCGCTGCCTTATGCCCCTCCACAAACTATATCAAATCAGCTAGCTATCTAAGCCAGTTAGGCATAAACATTGTTTCCCACACACAGATACACTCACACACACACACATATATACATATATTGGCAGCCAGACTCAAGTCAAGGCAGATAACTTTGCCCCGGTCGAGACGAGACATTCCAGGCAGCCTGGCAGCCTGGCAGCSTGGCTGCCGGAGCCACGGCAACAGCTAGGAATGCTTTTGATCTCGGGCGACTATTCAAATACAGGGTGCCGGTGCTCCACTGTCAGTCAGCCGAGGCATTTCATTTCCATAGCTCAACGATAGCTCCCTCTGTAATTAAACGAATTTTATCACATTTTTTGTAACGTTTAGGCCAGAAATGCACAAAAGTTTTATTTTTATTCGCTAGCCAAAAGTGAAAGCTGCCACAACTGGGAAATACTTGGAAATTAGTCAGACGTATAGATTTAAAATGTACCTCTTATAACTGTCTTAATGATGATAAGAATAGAGGAGAGTTTTAATACGCCGAGCAGAAATATATAAGAATATTAAATAACATAAACAAGAACGTTATTTTTATAGCTTGGATAATCTGGAATGATGACACAATAGTGACAGAAAATATAGATATAAAAACAAAAAGCAATGTTTTCTGTGGAAAAGATGTGTTATTAAAAGATAATATCTCATTGATGTGAGATAGTATGTGAGAGTAGCTAAGATTGCAGTGTCAATTACCGTATCTAATTGCTATATCAGTTTAGGGTTTAGCGGAACTCTTTAAGAATATTTCTAACAAAATGCGTTTAGCTACATAATATGTGAGCTATTATTCTAACATAAAA